TTTACGGGTAAAATGTTTAGATATTCAATTAGAATTTGTGGTTGTCGATCTAAATATGTTTTATCAATTTGTATTAAAAATCCATCAAATAATGGCTGAATTTTATGCAATAATTCTTTGTCAATTACACCATGTGCATCAGCAATATTTAATGTTCGTTCAGGATTAAAAGAATAACCAAAATCAATATCAATTGTTTGTTGAAAATAAATACTATCAACTGTTTGTTCAAATGTTGATTGAAATAGTTGATTTAACAATGTTGATTTTCCTTGACATGGACCAATACCAAATGATAAGATCGTTGGTCTTGTATAATTCCATACATGTAGGATTGCAGGTATAAATTGATATTGTTCATTTTGATTCCATACTTGAATATTTGAAGAAATAAATGGAACTGGATTTCGTTTACTTAATAATGACATGATAATTCGGCATAAAAATATATCAGAATTCATAAATAAAACATGTAATAGCATCCGTAAACTGGAATTTGTTCGTTGTTGTAATTGATATTCTGTTGGTTGGTCTATTCCTTGATATTTAAATGTAAGTGAAATAAAGAAATCATCTAAATTTTGTTGTCGTTTTAATAAATACATAATTGGTGTTAAACAATCTTGGATAAATTTTGGAAATGAATAATTGTTATAATTAAGTCTATCAATCAAATTTTTTGTTATATCATCTAATGTTTGGTTAATATATTGTAGTTCACCAGCTTGTACTAAATCTTCTAATTGATATAAATCTGATTGTTTGCGTTTACAATTTAGAATAAGATTCAATTCGTTTTTTTTATCACGATAAATACATGTTACTGGTTGATATTCAACGTTCATTGTTGTATTAATATCAGCACGATGAACGATTATTTCATTGGTTTCATCATTAATAAATTTGCTTGCTTGTCTGGTGATTTGATTGCTATTTTGAATATGATTTTCCGTCAGTGCATCGCTTGCGGAGATCATTGATGTGTCTTCGTCTAAAGAAACTTTTTTACAGTGAAAGGGAAAACACAAGGCGTTAGAAAGCATGATACTATAGTACTATTGAGTTAGTGAAATTTGAATTCACGTAATAAACAGTATGCAATTTTCTAGGATATAGATTATTGTGAAAAGGAAAATGTGATCATTTTAGGACTTAGAATAATTTATCCACATAAACATAGTATTTATATCGATTTTATATGGAAGAAATAATCAATATTGTATCACATCAAAGAAATCGTGCAGATCTGCTGTGATTTATTTTGTTTCTGAGATTGATTAGATCTAACCCAACCACTCAATTTATATTTGAATAGCATATAACACACTCTAAGTGCGTTAGAAGAGAATCATAAATCCTCTTGATCCTGACTGAATTCTCACTCTCAACTGATTTCTGGTTCTTTAGTCTCATCTTCGGTTTTACCCTCAGCTTCATTCGTTTATAAAATGAATACTGGAAAATTCTGAAAAAGCTGCTGCATCCTCGCATGAACATTCTTTGTGTTTTGCAATAAATATTCAGATGGCCTCATACTGACAAAAACTAGTAGTGCTAAAAAATCTGTTATTATCGTAGATATTTCATGCGCTGACTAACTTAATATCTTTCAGCCAAACCAACGCAGTGAGGCAACATTTTCAACACAGGGCCGAAGACAGAAAAAAGAATTTATATATTATTTACATTTTTTTTCGGAATTATCAGTGTATATCGTAGATTTTTCGGTTGAAATTAATTCCAATTGCATGTTGATTAATGGTGTATCATAATCTTTGAGATGTTCTTTTCTTTCTTGTGTTTGTTGGTGTAGCTGATAAGAATGAATATTTTTTAATAATTTTTCATAAGCATATGATGTTGTTTTTCGTTTAATTACTTCTACACCTGTTAACCAACCATGCTCGGCTACATTGTTTAATGCTGATTCATACAAATTTTGTCTGCATATGATATTACTTTGTTCAAGTAATAAAAATAACTGTTGACGATAATATTCACGTAATGCTTGAAATAATGCTGAAGGTTTTTTATTAATTTGTTCATCCATCGCATCTTTAATAATATAATCAGCATATTTTGTCACTGATTTTAAGCCATTATTTGTTATCGTCAACCAGAGCTCATTGAATACATTTGTTTCGTGTAAACAGGTATCATCGATTGCTTCAAATAAAAGTTGTAAAACAATGGATAATATTGAACAATTGTTCATATATTTGTTCCCATATTCCGCTGTACGTGTTAAAATACGTTCATATAAATCATGATTTTCTCCATTTTGATATTGTTTTAAAAATAATGAAAACCATTCATTGGAGGAACCATATTGTATTTCCCATTTTCGTTGAAAATACATTTTTAACAGTTCTACTAATTTACTATCTTTACTATCCATTTCTTTTGTATATATTTCTGTGGGTATATCTTCTTGGTAATCAATTAATGATTGCCGACCTTTTTCTAACAAACTGTTAACAATCTGATCTTTATTTGCATTATCAGTTAGTTGAAGAACTTGAATAATTTTATTAGTAATTGATTTAACTACATCATCACTATTACTAATATCGTCTTGGCCACCAACGGCATTATCTAGCTTTTCATCTGAACAAGATTGTATTTCTGATAAATCAGAAAATTCTGCCATTCTTGTATGCTTTCAATGTTCAATCGTTAAATATATATGCTCTAAAATAATTTCAAAACTTAGCAAATTCATCATACATTCTTCTTATATAAACCGTTCGACAATAGTAGGTCAAGCATGTTGATCTTTAACAACTGACGTTTACCGTCCGGATACCAGGAAAATTATCAGTTAGTTGGCGTACGCATGTAACACTTGAAACTTAAAGTTAGTGATTAATTAATTGTCATTATATTCAGATGTTCAATTCAAGCATTCAGAAAGCGCCTTAACAAATGTGAGTGTCACGAAGTCTTCTGAAGCGATTCCATCTAAACGCAAAAAGCAAAATAGACACAGCGACGATGCGACGTTTAGTGTCTAGTCGCGTTTCAGTCTGAATGTTTTTTTTACATGAAATTACTCGGACACTTGTACTGAACAGTGAATGCTCAATGGATTTTTCTAATCAGAGATTCGCGAGCCGCAGTGTCATACTGCTCCGTCGCGGAGCGATGTCAGAATTTTCGGCAATGGGGTGGTGGTGGATCACCGTGAGATGTGACGATCTTTCCCGTCGCCTGACGATTCTGTTCCTCTTCTAAAATCCAGCTAAATCTATGAAAATAAGTGATTGTCATCAGGTTTTTGGTTTTTGAAATAGTCTCTGTATATAATTATATTATTTACTTTATCTGATGTTATGGAAATCAGATAGTGATTGTGACACACAGTAGCGGACAAAAGTCTCCACCCACCTAGAATTTTATCAGATGCTTTGATGAACTGGCAATTGTTTCACTACTAAGAAGCTCACATTAAACTCTGATCATGAGCGCCATTTAAAATTCAACGGACTTTCAACAACGTGACAAAATCTAATTATTCATGTTGTCGAATTCCATGAATGTAATGGAGCACCACTTTCCTTTTTGTCTTCTCAAGACCAGACCGTCACCATCGATTGCTAGATTTTCTTCGTGGTTGCATGCCTAGAAAGAAGAAACGATTCTACAAATTTTGATATATGATTCAAAAATTAAGATGTTCAGATAGGCCTGTGGTAACCTATAATCCGTGACCTATAGCACAAGCAATATCTACGCATCGCATATTTCGAATGACTGCCGGCTTATCTGAACATTTAAAGTTTTGAATCATATATCAAAAGATGTTGAATTGTCTCTGCTTCCCAGTACCATGACCCGAAGGAAAATCCAACGGTGGACGGCTGCACTCTGTTCTTGAAAAGACGAAAAGACAAGCATGGCCTTTTTAGAAAATCGACACTATATATCATCAATGATTGGAATTCTTACGTTATTGAGTGTATTTAAACATCCTGGCGTGTTTAAAAACATGCAAAAACGATTTGTCGAATGCGTACGTGTTCCTTGGGAACGGAACCCTAAGGAACGGGAACTCTGACACCCCTAAACCTGGGTGCTTGAAAGTTTGCTCAAAAGTCGTCTTCCCAAGCACTTTTTCGATGAGACGGAGTGGAACTGTGATGGTTAGTGTGCTGAAGAGGCGGGGTGATACTGAGACAAACAAGTAGCGAAACGTTCACATTTTTTACGCTCAAAACGCACACACTTTCACCCGTTAAAAAACATTGTTTTTGAAGAAAAACAAGCTTGAAAACATTAGCTCTTATCAACTCGGCTTTTTCTCGCAAAAGACGTTTTTCTACACGCATTAAAGCGGGCGCTTTGACGTATAAAAACGTCGACTTTTTTGGTACTTGTCTAGCAGAATGGCGAAGCGGTAACGGATTGGACATTCAACGAATACATAGGAGTGAAGCAGTGGCGGAGTGACTTTTTAGCTGTCAAATGGATGTTGGAAGTCTACACTCAAGGAATTGTACAGCATAGTGAAACAAGAACAAACCAGTGAAAATATTATTTTAATTTATAAAACGATATTTTCGGTGAAAAATTCACATACTTTCATACCTAAAGGATTACTAGTAACAACTTGGTTATACTATACCTGATATATCTTCCAAAACTCTGAATGTTAATGAAAAACTGCGTTCAGAAGAGCTAGTTATATACAACTGTGTGTATGTGTAAAATTGGGTTTTTTTCCACAATACCTAGCGTGAGAACAAACTTTTGTTCTGCTCTGTTGTAAATTTGCAAGATGATGTAACACCCTCATAGGAAAATTTTAAAAAGTCTACGTGATAATATTTTCAGAGCAAATGTGATATTTGGTCTCTATTTAATCTTGTCTTTTATCGAAGAGATTTATTCTCAAATTTGTTACTTTTCTTAAAAAAAAATTATTTATGTGAATGTGGTGTCTGCTGAAACATTATCGTCGTATCAAAAACAGATCAAAACCAGACAAGAAAAAGCATACAAACAAAAAATCAAAAGAAAAGAGAATAAATATGAAAGTCAACAAAAAGGTAGACACTTGCCACTATAATGGTTAAGCACGTAGAATTTTATAATGTTCTCTCTTTGTCGTTACACTCAGAAATTTCAAAAAAATAAATCATGAGTTTGTTTTGATCATATTTTGCCAACTTCTTAATTCCATATAGTCTAGACGAGCAGGTGCGATTCTGCATGAAAGCAATGAAAATGAATAATCAGCAACATGTTCGGCAAGAAATCTTTGAAAATCCATTCGATTTAATTACTGTTCTATGAAAAGAGTAAAAATAATTAAGATTATTTGAGTTTTTCTATGTTCTTTAAGTGAATTAAACAGATAAGCAGTTGTACGAAATTTTAGAAGTGGTTAGAGGCTATGGCAATACGAGTAGAGCGTGACGAGTCCGACACCTTCTGAGCCCAGAATCGGTTGATTAAACGTTTTTAGACTCGCACCCTCACTCTCAAGATAGGACATTCTTTTTCTTTTTGTAATCATATTAGAAAAACTCTGCAAGATCAACATTACAAACAACTTTTCAGAATTATTCTCACAAAAAATCTTTTGTAAGGTTTCGACTGTTCATCTGCGTAATCCGTTATGAGCCAAAATAAATTATTCGAAAAATATTTATTGAATAAACGTTTAAAAGCAAATGAATAAAAAATGTTTAGATATAACAAATATTAAAGTGAAATAGTTCTTTGATAAATCATTTTAAATGCGTTGAGAAACATTGTGCGTTTGATTAAGATTTGTTTTAGGTGCAACCTTAATTAAATATATGAAAAAAAAGAATGTATTTTTAAATGAAATAAACTTACGATTAATCCATCATGATTGCCAATTATTATTTTTATCGAGATAATAATAACCTGATGTATATATTCTTAATTTATAATTTGATGTATGACTGGCAACCTGATGTTTTTGTATTATTAAGGTCCACCCCCCACTCAAAGCAAAGGTTATTTTGGTGAAATTTATCGATTTTTTTTAAAATAGCGTATTTGATAGAGCACCACATCCGCTATCGAATGCACTATAGTTTCTTAATTTTACGATAGATTTTAAGGGTTTCACACAGGTTTTTCTGAAAACCTCTACCGGAAAAGACGACATTTTTTCGTTATTTTGCGTTTTTCTCAAAATGAGATTTTTACTTTTACGTTTTCGTGCATCCC